TACCCAAGCTGTGTATTGGTGATACAGAAAAACAAATTTCCATCAGCAATGCCTCCGCCTCACCCACTAGACTTAAAGAAACGACTCTTGATTAAACATTAGTGTCCTTCTTGAAGCCAGCTCCACAAGTATTTTGACTAAGCTCTTGCAAATTTGACTGTGATAGACTGGATACTGCCTGGGTGGCTGAAAAGCACTTCCCCCACCAGATCCTGTATAGGAGAGGTCAAAGAGAATGCTTCAAAGACACTGTGTGTCTTCTTGAAACGCAGCACCATTTACACTAATTACTAGGTCAACTTGCTACCAGTCATTCAAAGTGTTAAAAACCTGTCCATGAAGCTCCTTGCTTTGAAGAATCAAAAAAGGAAGCAAATACTGCATTCTGGATTCTGTCACATCAGACATCCTGCCCAACGCGCTCAAAATTGACTGGTCGAGAATACACCTGTCAGCAAGACAAAGATCCACCATAGAAACCTGCGAACCAAGATGACACATACTTAGATCAAGAACCAGTTGACAGTGGCTAATGAGGAGAATGCCCTTATGTTCTATCCATCTAAGTGAACTTAAATTCACCTCTCAGTGCATCAAGTTTAAGTGTCAAGTTTTAAATATTCAACTTTTGTGCATTCTGCAAGGAAGGGGTATTTGGATTCAAATAGAGCCTTCACAACCTCAGGTTGGACCACAGTCAATTAACAAGTCTTCAAATGTAGCCACTGTTTTCCTATGTTACATGTCAGCAGAATGATGTGTAGCAAACACAACCTGGTACTGTAAGTAAAAGCGACAAATTGTTTTAAATTTGTCTCACACTGTCATTTCTGAATTATATGCTAACTAAAATAATTGGTTTAACAAAATATTTGATTTACTGAATGCATAACCATAATGTGTTAAACATGTCTCTTGCAGATATTGTAGAGTAGTATTAAAATCAATATCATTTCTAATTTAATTAAATTGAACTAACTATTGATGTATACACAATAAAGACAAACACCCTCATGTACATCAAATTTTTAAGATCCGTACTTTCAGAAACTCCAATAAAAACACTTGCATTTGCAATCTGCCCAATTCTCTAGCACTGTTAAAACAAGGGTCTGAAGTATCATTCAGCAGAGTTCAAAGAAATACAATACTGAACATTGCAGGGCTGTGCTATATTAAGAACCTATCATTTACTATTTATCTTATTCCTGCAAATGCACTTGCCAACATTCTCCTGTTACACCTCTCAAGAATGACAACTCCTACTACATATGGTGGCATTATCTTCACAAGGAACGATGTTTCGTAAAGCAATTTTTCATTGTTCAAGCTTTCTTATGTAGTTTTGTACTCCATTTACTTCAACACATTATATTTATCATTTGGTAATTGTGGTATAAAATGCCATTTTCAGCTTTAAATGCACAAACAATTTACAGAATTAAAGTTTGTTTCAACATCAGTATAGGACTTAACAGATCAATGATTTCAAATTTTTTGCAAACAGAATCTGAACTGAAGGTACAACTCTAACAGACAAATGCTGCTTTCCTCTTATTCCACTTATATCATTCGTACCCCCAATTTCAATGGTCAGTAGATGAGCTAATGCTATAATCTGTTGCACTTGCAAATGTATTAATTATGAAATTAAAAATGTCATTATGTCTTATTACTTACGGAAAAAAGTGCATAACCTAAAACAAATATTACAAACCTGAGGAAGACTATCACAACCTTAAATCATACCAGGTTTCTATTGCTATACTATTAATGCTTGTATTTTATTTTAACCTCCATAACTGCTGTCAGATTCAATATTACCGTGCTCCTTCCCTTCAAAACTCTCTTCCAAAAAATCACCTGCAATAATACTACAGATTGTAGCAAGTTCATCATTTCCAGTGCTGTAATTTGAAAGTTCCAAGCAGTTCAAAAAAAAAAGTCAAGCAATCACCAACATATATTGGAGGATAAAGAATGGCAAGCAGAAATTACTATTCCATCAGTGGTTATAATTCAATCTTTAAAACATTAACAACTTGCAAAACTTACACAGTTCAAATGCACAAACTAAACAATAACAAAAATATTATTGTATTTGGAAACCTTGCATCTTCAGATACCTGGACTCAAACATTTCATTTTAGGAAACCATTACTGTACTTCTGAATAGTGTCGAGTGGTCCAATTAAACAAAAAGTTACAAATGATGATCTTTTATCTGATGAAAACAAAATGACCTCAGAACACTAACCCAGTGTATCAGATACAACACAAAGTTTGAAACCATATGGCACCCAAAGCTTCCCTACTATACGATTTCAAGAACCAAATTGAATATTTGAGCCCACACTTATGAAAAGGCAAAACATCAACTATTGGGTTGACTGCATGCAGACTCTCCATTAAAGACTCAGTTCTTGGAGGCCTTAAGTATATTCAAAGCTTTCGAATTTGAAAAGCACACCAGAGTCTGATAGGCCTGGCCCCCATCATTCTCAGCTGCAGAAAGGAAATACCACATATTGGTAACAAACGTCATTTAGTCCCACAGAAATTCAGTGTTGCATAGAAGGCAAGTTTCAGCCTGTGTTGAGAAGGATACCATATGATGATTCCTGGACTAAGTCACTGAGTCCAGTACAAGTAGGCATCAGCATATTGTCACTGACATTCATTTTTGTTGAACCAAGAACTGCTTCTTATGGATGCAAATAGCAGTACACTGCAAAACCTCCTCCATAGCTACTTTACTGACAGGTATACGAAAAATAAACCAAATTCAAATTAGAGACAAAGATTAAACATTTCTGTTCTTAATTCAGAATTATATTTAAAGCATTTTTATATCAGGGATCAAAATTCTTCCTTAGAAACAAAATACGTAGGAGCAAATAACTTTATTGCTCATGACACATACTGAACATTGCCCAAATCTGATGTCATAAACGATATTCCATGAGGAATTAAGATTGGTAATCGTTATACAAGCTGACGAAATAGATGCACACAGCATTATTTTAACAACATGCAAACCTGGCAAAATTCAACTGGGACTATATGTCAAAACTCACTATACTTCTAAAGTACTTTATTGGCTGTAAAGTGTTTTAGGATACCATGAGATAATGAAAGGCACTATATAAGCTTAGGTATTTCTTTCTGGATCAATTTCCCATTCTTATAACAGGCTGAGGCATGGTTTTTCAAGCACTCAGTTCATTAACTGGCGTCCTTCTCCCCATCAGCGTACCTTACACTGTTTCAAGACAGTAACTAACCTAATTTCAAATCCTATTCAACACTAACCAACACGGTAGAAGTGAATTAGTGACTACCTTCACAGCAAAAACAAACAAAGTGCTATCTGCTATGATTATCATGACATCTCAGGAGTGGAAAAAAGCCAGTTGCGTCTCTTAGGGCTGTAACAAATTGTTTATCCCAGGGCTCTGGACCATCTCTTATGGATTAAAATTGTCTTGACATGGCCCTTACAGACTGTACACATTATTTAAACTTAGAAATACTAAGATTAACAAAGTAGCCAGTTGTTGGCCCATCTGAAGCCAAATACATGGCAATCAAGAGAAACCAGGAGTAATAGTGATAATAGGAAATTTCTACTTCAGAGGAGGTTAGATTATATGTTAAACAAAACACTTCAACTGATGAAGCATACCAGACAATAGCACTGAGAAATAAAGGAATGGATATTTCATGCTGCAGCAGTATTGTTATAACAACTGAATATGTAATTTACAGTATTCTAACCCCATGATATTGCTCCCAAAACTATTACTATGCAAATTGACTAAAACTCTATCAACTGTAAACAGATTTTGTGATCCCATTCTAAGTTAGTTCAAATAAGTCAGACAGAAGGATCTATTTCTGTGAAGTATAACTGATTCTAGTCTGCTCTGCTGTCAGGTTCATGACATAAATAGTAGTAAAATATCTTTTGAAATTGGTGGCAAACAGGGAATGCATCCACATGAATAGCAATCCACATCTTCATCCAGTAATGCAAAGCCACCTGATGTAGGCATAAACAGCAGAAGCCAACTGAATAAATTTTGCACACCTAAACTCCAGTGCCAGAATTATGCAGTGTTGGTTTGCTCCAGGGCCACAGGCACATACCCCTCTAAGCATTGCTGAAGGTGAGCCAATGTCACCAGGCAGAATATACGGCACCTTTTTTGTTTGAGGGGACAGAATGAATAAAAAGGCAGAAAAATCTGATCTGGAAGGCTCAGCACCTGCACCACTCTCCAACAGGGGCAATGTGACCTGGAGTGACCCCCCAACATCAGGGCATACTAACCTGGAGATGGAGAGAGAAAAATCCAACTACCCCCAAACCCAGGGTGACATGAACTGTACAGAGACGTTACACAAACCTTCACACCTCCCCACTACCCAGCCTCAGCCCCCATGGTGAACTAACCTGAAAACAGACGCTACCACCAACTCCCCAAACCAACACCAGGGTGAAGTGACCTGGAGAGACACCCCAGCTACCCAATCCCCCACCCCCAGGGGAAACTGGCCTGGAGACAGTGCCCCCCACCCCCAGGGGAAACTGGCCTGGAGACAGCCCCTACCCTCCGTCCTGTTCATTACCACAGCCCACACCCCCACCCTTTAACGACAGCGCACTACGCCTCCCTGCTCCACCTGTCGCCATGGAAACGTTTACTGAGCTTGACCCGGGCGCGCTCACCCACCCACCCACACCCACACCCACACCCACACCCACACCCACACCCACACCCACACACACACCCAGACTGACTGACTGACTGACAGACAGATAGATAGATAGATAGATAGATAGATGTGGATTATGTAAGGGGGGCGGGAGGCAGCGCAGTTTCAGGCAGAGGCCTGCTGCTCCAGCACCAGCCCGCGGTCTGTTCTGTTCTGTCCTGTCCTGTCCTGTCCTGTCCTGGTCGAACCCAAGGCCCGGCGGGGCGGCAGCGGACACTCACCTGACGCTGAGCTCCCTCGAGCCGCATCGGGAGGCGACAGCTGTCAGCCGGCGCACATTCCCGGCATGCCCCGCGGGAGGGCGATGCACATTGATCCCGCCGTCTGACGCAATCACGTCGGAGGAGCCTACCGTCAGGCCGTTTACGTCACTGACTCCACCTCCTCCCGCTGAGGCGGCCGCTTCCCACCGAATGCGCCTGCGCACTAAGCCTCCCCTTCCCCAGTGACCCTAGGGAGAGCACGTGCTGCGAACCTGAAGTGTTACAAGTCTAGGGCGTGGGAGATGCTTCCCTAGTGGTCTTAGGAGTTTTGTTGTCAGTTCTGATATTTTTTTGATGTACGGCAGTGTGGCCAGTGCGTTAGGGCATACTGTGTCCTCTTGTTGTTGTCTTCATCCGCCAGTGCCTACTAAACAAACAACACCAGGAGGACCAGTGCGTTAGGGCGTACTGTGTCCCCTTGTTGTTGTCTTCATCTGCCGGTGCCTACTAAACAAATAACACCAGGAGGACACAGTACGCCCTAACACACTGGCCACACTGCCGTGCATCAAGAAAATATCGGAACTGACAAATAGACTCCTAAGACCACTAGGAACCATGGTGGCCCACAAACCCACAGCCACTCTACACCAAACACAAGGATTAAAGACCCCATTCCCACAACATGCCGAACCAATGTGGTTTACAAATACCATTGCAATAACTGCTACAAACATTACATCGGACAGACAGGAAGGAAACTAGCCATCAGAATACATGAACATCAGCTAGCAGCAAAACAACACGATGAACTCTCCTTAATATCAGCACACTTGGACAATGAAGGCCATCAGTTTAACTGGGACAAGGTAACCATAGTAGCCGAAGCCAAACATAGACACGCACGGGAATTCCTAGGGGCATAGTAAGGCAATCAACAAACACATAGAATTGGACCCCATATACCAACCCATACAGATCAAAACCAAAAATGAAGCTACTCACTATAAAGGACCAGACAGTATAAATTCCAAGTGGAGTAGAACAACATCGCTTCATCAGAGGCCTCACTGATTATGTTACCTAGCATGGTGATGAAACATTTGAACAAAAACAAGCCAGCTCGGCAAGCAAGTCAACAACCTCATACGTAGACCATACTGTACCCAGCTATTGATGGCAGACTTTCTTCCCTCTGAGACATCACTGTACCCAGGATGGGTTTTTCTCAATGACCAACAACGGTTTCATGGTTATCATTCCATTCTTAATGCCTGATTCCCTACTGAATTCAAATTCCACCATCTGCCACCATGGGGGGATTCAAACCTGGGTCCCAGAACATTAACAAGAAAAAATTACTTGAGAAACTCAGCAGGTCTGGCAGTGTCTCTGCAGAGAAAGCAGATTAACGTCTCAAGTCCAGTGATCCTTCTTCTCCAGAATGTTACCTGGGTCTCTGCATTAATAGTAGTCTTGCTCTGGAGTGACCAATTCCTAAAAGGTAAGGTTGAAAGAGTGCTATATGGCATCTGCACCTAGCTTGCAGACTTTGCAGGGAATGTTGCACAGCAGTACAATTTTTTTGTTACCTCATTGGAGCTGGATTAAGCCATTCAGCCCATCGAGGTAACTTTGCCATTCAATTAATTCACAGTGGATCATCTACCTCAAAGCCACTTGCCCACAGCATCTTCATAACCTTTCGATGTCATTACTCTCCAAGAAATCTAGCAATTCCTATCTTGAATGCACTCAATGATTTCGCTTCCAGTAAAGAATCCCAAAAAGTTGCAATAGAAAATTAGATTAGGAGTAGGCCATTCAAACCTTCAAGCCTGCTGCGCATTTCAGTAAGATCATGGCTAATCATCCTACTCCAAACACTGTTTCTGCTTTCTTCCCATATCCTATGATCCCTTTAACCCTAAGAATTTTATTTAGCTCCTTCTAGAAAACAGCCAGTGTTCCAGCCTCATCGATTTGACACATTAATTCTGCTTCTTTCAACGGATGCTATCTGCCCTATTGAATAATTCCAGCTCTTTTCTGTTTATATTTCAGATTTACAGCAGCTGCAGCATTTTGCTATTGTATTTTTTTTTGCCTAGACTTTCTGTATTACCAGTCAATATAAATTGTAAAGCACACAGTATACGATTAAGAATTTAGTTCTGTTCTGACAACCGAACACTGTTTGATCTGTGAACTTCAAACAGAATGTGGAGTGAGGAGACAGTCATTTTTATTCTGGAATTTGAGTGAAATGCAATGTAATTATTTGTATGCTGACATGGTCATAATTGTGCGATTCTTTAATTATTTTATACTTTATACGTTATTTTAATCATTTTAATTGTCTATAACTATCTTATGAGTTACTTATTTTATTTATATCATCACAATTTGTCACCTGTTACCATGATGATTTTGCTATTGTCTATCTCAGAAACAAAAACAGAAGTTGCCAGAAAAGCTCAGCAGGCCTGGCAACATCTAGGGAGAGAAATCTGAGTTAATGTTAACGATTGTATATTTATACCACAGGGCCATTTGCTCCTGATCCCTGTACACTTCCTTGCATTAACTGTGACCTATTACATGTCAACACATTCCACCAACATCTCTAGAGTCTCTTGAAGCCAACAAAAATTCCTTATCTTGAACAATAACATCCAAATTTTAAGTCATTTGCAAAATCAAGAACATATCCTGAATACTCAGGTAAAATTCTTAAATATATATCGAGAAAAGCAGAAATATTGATGGGGCAGGGACAGAAATCACAGGGCCTAATACTAATTCCGGCCTAGGACTCCCACCCAAGCACAGTGACCCGAACCCTGAGCCCCGTACAGGGACCCAACTTCAATCCGAGTACAGTGTCCCTGCTCGACCCAAGCATAGTGACCCCACCCCGATCCCAGTACAGCGCCTCCACCCCTGACTTCAGTACAGTGACTCAACTCCCAACCACAGTACAGTAATTCCATCCCGACCCCAGTGCAGTGACCCCACCACCTGGCCCAAGGACAGTGACCCCACCCCAACCCGATTATAGTGATCCTGCCTTTGAGACAAGCGTGGTGATCCCATGTTGCTACAGCTTGTTTATTCCATGGGCTTTAGCCATAATAATTTCTCCATATAGTATATGTATGTACAAATTGAAATAGAAAGAACATAATGCTAGTCTTATACAAAAGGATGATAAACAATAACTAATCTGCAAGGACCATTTAACAGATTCAATGAATCCCAGCAGATTTTAACATCAGAAGAACTCTCAACATTTTGGAAGATTGAATTCATCAACTGTTGTGTAAAATACAACAAAATGTGAGAAAATTCTTTGTCCACTTTAGTTTAGGTATCCAGGATCACCCTAATCTTGCTCTTACACCATTAGTCGATTCTTAAATTATTCCAAGTATCTTCCTTTCCTTTTGAATGTGAAAGTGCATTCCGTGGACTGGGGGATAATGACTTGCTGAGATAAATTACAATTTGCCTTTTCCTAATTGGAACCTATTTCTCCTTGTCTGAATCATTCAAGTTACTTCAAAGCAACTTTCTGGATTCGATTTTTCCCATTGTATTACTCTTGTACAAGGCTGAAAACCCCAAGTTTTTTCAATCATCTTTCATTAAACAAGATACAGAATGTTGATCAGCCTCGTGATTTTTCTCTGCAGTGTCTCCACTCTGTATTGCAGTCTACTGATGTATGACCACAAACTGCCATCAGTTCTTCATTTGTTCCATTTTGTAATGAGCCAGCAATGTGGATAATCATAGTTCACTCCTCCAGAGTGTTTTGGAACTTATTTATTGACATTGTCCTTGGGGAAAAGAAAGCTAAGAGGAGATTTGATAGAGGCGTTCAAAATCACAAGAGGTCTGGAAAGAGTAGATGGGGGAAGCTGTTCCCAACCATGAAAGAATTGACAATGATAAAGCACAGATTTAAAGCAATTCATAGAATCCCTACAGTGTGAAACCAGGCCATTCAGCCCATCGAATCCATGCCAACCCTCAAAAGAGCATCCCACCTAGACCTGCCTCGTAGCCCTGCATTTCCCATGGCTAATTCACCTAGCCTGCGTATCCCTGGATACCATGAGGCAATTTAGCACAGCCAAGCCACCTAGCCTGCAACCTTTGGACTGTGGGAGGAAACCGGAGCACCCGGAGGAAACCCACGCAGACACGGGGAGAATGTGCAAACTCCACACACTCTGTTGCCCAAGGGTGGGATTGAATCTAAGTCCCTGGCTCCCTCCTGGTGCTAACCACTGAGCCACCTTGCCACCCACTTGGCAAAAGAACCAAAAAGGAAAAGCTTTTTCATGTGGCTGGTGGTTAATGTTTGGATTTCACTGTCTGAGAGGGTGGTGAAGGTGGATTCAAACAAGGCTTTCAAAAGGGAATTAGACTTTTATTTTGAAAGAAAGGAATTTCAGAGTTACAAGGAAAAGGCAGGTGAATGGCATTAAATAAATTATACCTTCACTGGGCCAGTGCAGACATGATAGATCAAATGATTGCTTTCTGCACCATAAAAATTTCAATGATTCTGTAATATCATACAGGGTTAGGAAGCATGATAGCTGAGTCTTATTGCATTTTAGTGCATAAATGCAAAAGGTAGCCATTGCTTCCCTATTGTGAGGGGAAATTAATATAAAAGTAAGGAATTTATACTTCAGTTGTAGAGGGCATCGGTGAGACAACGTTGAGATTACTGTGGACAGTAGGAAAGTTGTCAGAGTGCTATTTGACCATAGGGCTGCTCTCTCATTAGAAAAGGTCACCACACATCAGGTGAGGAGAGAGATTGAGAAGTGGAATCTTTTTTGGTAACCTTAGCTTGTGCAGGAATTGAGCCTACACTGTCAGCATCATGAATTGCAAACCAACCCTCCAGCCAACTGAGCTAAAACCATAAGATAGCAGAGCAAAATTAGGCCAGTCAGCCCATCCATCTGCTGCTATTCGATCATGGCTGATATATGATGGGGCAGTGATGGCCCAGTGGTACTATCACTGGCCTGTTAATGCAGAGACCTAGGTAATGTTCTGCAGATCCAGATTTTGAATCCTGCCATGGCAGAT